TCACTCTTCTCCCTCCTCCGTTTCCACCCATGGCCACGTCCTTGGCCTGCTCAGCAGACCAGCTCTCCCAACTCACCTCAATCTTCGGCCCCAACGCCACCAATGGCAGCGCCGCCGCCTCTTTTATCTGTAACCAGTTCGACGCCATCAACAACAAGTTCATGGATGCCGCCTTCGCCATCGACTCCACCTACCTCCTCTTCTCCGCCTACTTAGTCTTCTCCATGCAACTTGGCTTCGCCATGCTCTGCGCTGGCTCCGTTCGCGCCAAAAACACCATGAACATTATGTTAACCAACGTCCTTGACGCCGCCACCGGAGGCCTCTTCTATTACATGTTCGGCTTCGCTTTCGCTTTTGGTACGCCCTCCAACGGCTTCATCGGCCGCCACAACTTCGCTCTCAAGTCCATTCCATCGTCAAACTTCGATTACAGTTATTTCCTCTATCAGTGGGCTTTCGCAATCGCCGCTGCCGGGATCACCAGTGGCTCCATCGCTGAAAGGACTCAGTTCGTCGCTTATTTGATTTACTCCTCTTTTTTGACCGGCTTCGTCTACCCGGTTGTCTCTCATTGGTTCTGGTCCGTTGATGGTTGGGCGAGTGCAACGAATACCGGCAATCTCTTGTTCGGGTCGGGCGTTATCGATTTCGCCGGGTCGGGTGTGGTCCATATGGTGGGTGGTATCGCGGGTCTCTGGGGTGCACTCATTGAAGGTCCGAGAATCGGAAGGTTTGACCACTCCGGTCGGTCAATAGGCCTCCGTGGCCACAGCGCGTCACTCGTCGTTCTCGGGACGTTCATGCTCTGGTTCGGTTGGTACGGGTTCAACCCCGGATCTTTCACTAAGATTTTCAGCGCGTACACTTCAGGCTCTTATTATGGGCAGTGGAGCGCAATCGGCAGAACCGCCGTTACCACAACCTTAGCCGGCTGCACCGCGGCTTTAACAACACTTTTCGGTAAAAGAGTTCTGTCCGGTCACTGGAACGTTACCGACGTTTGCAACGGTTTGCTCGGAGGTTTCGCGGCCATTACTGCCGGCTGTTCAGTGGTCGAGCCTTGGGCGGCTATCATTTGCGGGTTCGTGGCGGCTCTGGTTTTGATTGGGTGCAACAAACTGGCCGAGAAGTTTAAGTTCGATGATCCATTGGAGGCTGCGCAGTTGCATGGCGGGTGCGGCGCGTGGGGGGTGATTTTCACTGCTTTGTTTGCTACTGAGAAGTATGTGAATGAGGTTTACCCGGGTAAACCGGGTCGGCCGTACGGGTTGTTCATGGGCGGCGGTGGAAGGCTTTTGGCTGCCCATGTAATTCAGGTGCTGGTGATTGCGGGGTGGGTTAGTGCGACAATGGGGCCTCTGTTCTTTATTCTTCACAAGATGAAGCTGTTGAGGATATCGGCGGAGGACGAAATGGCGGGTATGGATCTGACCCGACATGGTGGGTTTGCTTATATTTACCATGATGATGAGGATGATACTCAAAAGAATGGGATTAGATTGAGAAAAATTGAACCTTCGTCCATGACATCCACTTCAGTTTAGAGGAATTTTCTTTGTGTTTGGTTTGGTATAATATTTTAATGGTGTAAAGATAGATCAAGATGTGGAGTTAATCAAAGGCTTTAATTTGTTTTCACATCACATGGTGAGGTTTTTGTGATTGTATTAAAATACTCCTTATTTTGGGAGAAATGTTTTTGTTTGGTAGTATGAATTAATTATGAAATAGCTGTTTATTGTTGACGACTGCGATGGGCCCACAAACGTAGAATCTTGTGCAGCTATAAAGTTGGAACCGGTAATCCTTTCGAATCCGGATACTGCCCATCAGAAGAAGCCATTTCTATCATCCGGATACTTATCTATTTGTGACCTTAACTTATAGTTTTATGAATGGATAAATCTATCCTTACAAAGTAGTTTACAAAGTGAAGGAAAAAATAAAAGAAGAACGGAAAAAGAGAAAGAGAGAGAGAAAAAAATGATGAAGATGAAGGATGGAGATTAACTTTGTATACCTCTTTTGTAAGCTTCTTTGTAAGAATAGCAACTCTCTTTATGAATACTCGTCTACATAAACTTATTAATGGAGGGTTTTTTTTCACCCAAATAATGATATGTACTCACAAACTTCAAAATAGCATTTTGCTAACTAAATTCATATTTCCTTTACTACCCAATACTTATTGAGAAAGATTGAAATACGGTGTTGGTATCACATCAATTGTACCATAAAGTAATAGATCATTTATTATATATATGTCACATAAGTATTTATTTTAACAGCTACCCATAATATTAATTAAAAGGCAAATCCTGTATGTAAAATTTTTAATACATAACATAAATGAATTTAATATAAACATTGACCTAGTAAATCCAGTAATCCACGGTAAATTAAGGTGGATGACCTGACAATATTAAAAATAGTTTTGTAAACAAATTTGGTGTGTATATAGCATCACTCTATAAATACCAATATAACAACATAAAATTTGTGAATTTATATTATTAATATAAAACTGACAAATTCAAAGACATAAAATAATATAATAATCAAAGGCTAATATAAAGTTTTCCTTAAAAACACCTTTTATAAATACTCGTTGAAAAGAGTGAGTAGGATGAATTATTTGAATCTAATCTCTTAAAAGGAATAATGACAAAAACCCAAAAGCATTCCACTCTGTTTAATTACTTCACTTTCATTTGTAAAGTAACCATCTCACTATCATTAACCTGCCAACAAAGATAGTCACAAACCTTAACTTTTCTCTTATAAATGCGATATAACAATTTATAATTGCTCAAACAAGACCCATTATTAGATATGCAAGATATATTATGAGTGAACAAATTACAAACTATTATATCATGTTTGTAAGAATAATATTACCCGCAAGCTAATTAGGAGTTAATCAATTGCTCGATTGAGAAAATTTACACACACACACTCAAGCAGAAACAAATTAATGTGACAATAATTACTTTATTTATAATTGTATACCATGTGGGTTCTATTAGATTATTTTATTTTTTATTTAAAAAAAGGAAGCTGAAATAATAAGAATATAGGTAAAGAACAAGTGGTGCACCAGAAGGAAAGCAAGGGGTGGAAGTTGAATTGAATGGTATAAACATAACATCGCTGAATGTCACAAGAAGACTTGGAAAAGTGCAAAAGCCATGGAAAAGTCTTTTGATTTTAACTTTAAATGTAGCCGCCATTCAAAATAAGGCCATTTTTTAAAAGTGCTTTTATGTGTAGTGGTTGTGGTCAAACTTTTACTCATCTGTGGGTTGATGGCCCCCCCATTATGAAATTCATACAATAGATTATTATTTAATTGATCTTGTTGTTGAGTGTTGACCGAAAATAAAATTAAAATAATGTACAATCTAACCAAACTGAAAGCGTGTGAAAAGATTTCATGACTTACTTCATTTAACGTTGTGTGTGATTTTTTTGGCCGAATTTGGGCCAATTCAAGGATATAGCTTGACCTAAATGAGTTTAACAACTAGATTGATCGACCCAACATAAGCTAATATGGATAACTCAAAATACATTAATCAATCTCAGATACTTCAGATCTCATATATTACTGGAATGACTCGATCAACAACGATCATTATGCAATCACAATGTCCAATTATGTGAATATCAGAATTGCTATTCAGATCAATTGTAATCTCTTTAATTTCGCTATTTTCTTTGTACAAATCTTGTTTAAAACCCTCTCAAACGATGAGGAAGGGATTACGATTTTCAAATAAGAATTGCATTGTAAGCTCTTACAGCAAATACAAAAACACAGTGGACGTAGGTTATTAACCTCGCCGAACCACTTTAAAAATATTTTTATTTTTAATTCATTTCATTTATATTCATTGTTGATTTTCACTAATCAAGCACACATTGGTTCCGATGCCGATAAGGTCGATCGAATCACGTTAGTTGGTACAGAATTCAATATCAACATTTAATTTTCATAACAAAATTAACATAATTTTTGAACAATTTCTAGATTCATAATCTGAATATTAAATTGTTTATAAATTATAAAAATAAAAATAAAAATTGGGATTGTTCAATCGAGATGGCTGCAAATGAAATAACATTTGTTTTTAAACATCATTTCCTTTAGAAAAGAAAAGAAAAAATCATATTGATTGATTGATTATAGGATAATGAGGTTCAGATCTTCAGAATTTTGGTTTATCAACATTATTTAAGAATTTTTAAAAATAGTTATTTTATCAATAAATATTAGGGGTGGGCGGGTTCGGGTTTTTTGCCAAAACCGAAACCGATCGGTTCCTTTGATTTGGAACCGGAACCGACGGTTTCGATTCCTAAAAACTTGGAACAGTTCCGGTTGCAGTTCCGACTCTAGGTACCCGGTAAGTATCAATTACCCCCCAAATTAAAAAAAATAACAAATTAACCCTTATAAAATTACAATTACTCCCCTGTTAGTATTCTGAAATGACAAATACACCCTGCAAACTTTACAAAAATTAAAACCATTTCAATATCCATTTCAACCTCCAAAAATTAAAATTACATAACAATTTAAAACTTTAAATAACACAAATACGACAACATAATAACATGTCAACCATCAAGTTTAATAAGTTAACAACATATCAATTTGCAAACTTCCAACAATAAAATTACATAATATTTTAAATTAACACAAGTACAACAACATGAAAGCTACATCAAGCTTCATCCCCAAAATTTGCAGTGGTAATGATTTCTTCATCAATTGCGTTCATTATTACAAAAAAGAAAAGAAAAGAGGAAGTCAATTAATCAATTAGTAATTTAGTATGTTAAAAAATTGAATAAAACTACATTAACTAAATGAAAATATAAGACATTCATATTAATAAGTTACCTAAATCATAAGTCTCTGCATCCACCAAGTAATCTTCAGAATGAATAAGTGTGGGTGCACATCTTAACCAATCTTGTGTACAAATTAATGCTTATACAACACCCGGAGATAAAGAACTTTGAAATTGATCAAGTACATGACCCGATATACTGAAAGCTAACTCAGAAGCAATTGTAGACACCGAAATTGCAAAGACATCTCTTGCCATATGTGAGAGAACCTTATACTTCCCTTTATTTGCTTTCCACCAATCCAAGACACTCAACTCACACTTCATGGGTTCACATTTCTCCTCAAGGTACTGCTCTAACTCTGATTTGTTATCATCAACTACCCCTACGTCCATCTCCTCCAAAAATGCATCCTTGAAGGGGTGATACTTAACAGTAGCATCAGAAGCAACAACACCAACTGAAGATTGATTAGTTCCCATTGGTGGAAAGGAAATGGAAGCTTGACCTCGTTCTACATGTGAGACAAGTCGGTCATAAACTCCAAACAATCGTTCTAATACATCTCTCAAGTTTGTAGTCATCATTTCAACTTTTGCCAAGTCATTGCCATAAATCTTTTTATAGCACCAACTCACATATATCATTTTATACCGAGGATCTAATACTGTTGCAACCAGCACCATCACATTGGCTTTGTCAAGACTCCCATAATATTTGTCAAACTTCTCTCTCATTTTCTTAGACATGCTATGAAGACAAGGATTAGGGTCGTTCTCCCAATCATTCAAAGTAAAGACAATGGAAACTATCTCATCAAAATAATTGTTAGAAGTCACATATTTCGTCCCTGACATCCTTTTAGTAGCTTCGTAAAATGTTTCCAAGAATTTGGCAAACACAATTGCTTTTTCCCAATCATCAACCGAAGGAGTTTCATGTGAATCAATAGCAAAGTTGGGGTCCTCATCTTCCAACATTTGAAAAGCTTTCTTGAATTTTATTGTAGTATCTAGCATGAAATAAGTGGAATTCCAATTGTTAGAAGTCACATATTTCGTCCCTGACATCCTTTTGGTAGCTTCGTAAAATGTTTCCAAGAATTTGGCAAACACAATTGCTTTTTCCCAATCATCAGTTTAAGGAGTTTCATGTGACAAATCAATAGCAAAGTTGGGGTCCTCATCTTCCAACCTTTTAAAAGCTTTCTTGAATTTTATTGTTGTATCTAGCATGAGATAAGTGTATTTTCATCTAGTGGCCACATCTAGACACACACCACCTTTATAAGTTATTCTTTCCTCTTTCACACATCTTTCAAATGCTAGGGCTGTACCAGGAAAACTCATCACATACTTAACTGAACTACGGATACGGCTAATACTATCCTTTACCTCACTAAGACCCTTCCTCACAATCAAATTCATAATATAAGCACCTCATATGAAAATACTGACCATCCATAATTAAGACATTCCTATCCACCAATCTATCCTTCAAGTAATTGATTGCCACATCATTAGCACTAGCATCATCCACAGTTAAAGTAGACACATGATCTTCAATACCCCATTCAAGAATGCAATTCTCTACCATTTTCCCTATCTCTCTACCCCTGTGACTACTAATGGTTTCAAAACTCAGAATCCTCTTATGTAACTCCTAGTTCTCATCAATAAAGTGAGCAATGAGGCATAAATATCTATAGTTCTGAATGGAAGTCCATATATCAGTCGTTAGAGCAATCCTAGACTTCAGAGAACTCAACTGTTTTTTCAATGAAATCTTCTGACAATTGTAAATCTTCAAAGAATCCCTAGCCACTGTATAACACGAAATACGCTTCCATAAAGGCTACAATGAACTTACATATTTCCTAAAACCTGGCCGCTCCACCTTTGTAAGCAGTTCTTCATCAACAATTATCATCTCAACAAGCAATTGCCTAGAGACCTCTTGACTAAATCTCTAAGTGGTAACCGTACTACTTCCTTGTCATCTTCTTTGTTTGTGCTTCTAAAAGATAAGAGAATTGTTTGGCTTTTATCAACATTGTGGGGGTATTTCTTACAAGTTGATAAATGCTTGTGCATTGAGGAAGTTCCATTACTCACACTATACGCTAACAACTTCTGACAATAGAAACACTTCGTATGTTATACTTTGTTGGTTTTCTCATTATAAATCTTCTCAAAATGTTCCCACACTTCGGATTGCTTAGCCCACCCATGCATATTTTTCTCTAGTTGATGACATTGTTCTTGCAAACATTTAAATTGTTTTATAATTACCATCTTAAAAAGAGATTTTCAAAGTAGTATAAAAATTATGGTTCAACTTTAAGCAACAATTGTACAACAATTACAGCAAAAAGATGAAGTACAGAAAGCAAAGGTATCTACTACTAGTAGTAGATTGGAGAAGACAATAAATTTGGGTTAGAAAATAAGAACTTCATAAGGAAGAAAGCTTAAAATGGGTGCAATAATTGCCTAAAAATCTTAAGTATTATATCACATCATTATAAATAAACATTAAGTACAGTTAAGATCACATAGAGAGCAAGCAACCAAAATTAAAGTCCAAACAAACCCAGCCACATAGCTTTTCACATGCTTCAACAGTTAAATTCTATTCCCTTTTTCAAATAAATAATATATCATATATGTCTGCACTGCAACACAAATGGCAGAATCAATATAGAATTGGAATAGAGTTTAACTTGATTGAACAAATGAAGTGGCTCAACCTACGGCCATGTAAGCCAGAAAGTTTGATAAAAAGATCGTCCAAACTTTTTTTGTCTGTTATAACCAACCCATTTCAACTGTTAACTTACTCAATACCAAATATCTTCTTATTTTACATAACACACTGATGAGTCTTTGTATGATCACCAACTCAAACAACGCAGTCATGGACACCCAAAATTCATCAAAAATAATGATATTACAGTGCCATATTATTCTCTGTATATCTGTTTGGTAAAATCTTGTTATCATATATATAGAAACTTTCTCGGGAAAGTGCAGAACAAAAGTAGAAATTTGTTGGGATATTAGATGGTACTGAAACCAAACACCAACCACAGTGGGAAGTTAGAGAAAATAATAATGAATGAAATCATGATATCATTTCGTTGACACTAATTGTTCATGACCAGCAAAATTGTGTCAAAAAAAAAAAAAAAAAAATTAAGCCAGAGAAAAGGAGAAAAAAAATAAAAAAACTCTCACGATCTGGAAATCAAAGACTAAAAGACAAAATATAATATGCAAATAGCCAGATATGCAAATAGAAATTCATGAAGATGATGATAATTGAAAACCCTAAATACAAAAATTGGGGATTTTGAAATACCTAATTGGAGATATCTTGCGAATGTGAGAGTTGAGATAGTGAGATGGCGTGAGGCAGTTCGAATTGCAGCCCCAGAGATTTAAGTACAACGATTTGAACTGAGAGTGAGAGAGATGAAAGATTGACAAGCTGTAAGTGCACTGGAGAGGAGAATGGAGATTGCCGAGTTTTTTTCCCCCCAATCCATAATTTTCTTATGTATTATATGAAATGCAAACTACATAAAACCCCCATGATTTAATATTATATCTATTTAGTCCCAGTTCCCGGTTTTGATTTCTTTGATTAGGAACCAAAACCGGAACTGCACAATGTCGGTTCCTATTTTTTGGAACCGGAACCTACCTTGTTACGGCCGATTCTAGATAGGAACTAGAACCGAAATCCGGGTACCCATCGGTTTCAATTCTACCTTAAAATTTTGCCCACCTCTAATAAATATGTCAAAACACTGATACTAATTTACCATTTGGGCCTTTGTTGGGCTGTTTTAGTGACTTTCTTTGGATTTGAGATCCCAATTGATTTTCAATGCCCCCATCTCTATTAATTTTATTAATATCTAGTTTTACTCTATTTTGAAATAGTGAGAGATTTTCCAATAAATTGATACGATTAATTAAAAATAAAATTATATTTTTAAATTTCTCCCAGTTTAGCTTAACTTGTAGGATAACACAGCTCATAGAGTGAGTAGTTCATAAAGTGACTTTAGGCGTAGACCAATCAAAATTAGGCTAAGGCCTTGAGCCAGCCATGACATGTTTATTTCGTTATTGGGCCTCATCAAGCCCAAAATGATTTTTTGCCGATACAGTTTTAATGATCCATTAATATACCAAATAAACCCCATCTTTTAAAACACCACACTTAACAATTTTAAAATTCATTTTTTTTTCCTTATGGCATTCTCTAGATTCCATAAATGCCCTTCATCCAATATATATATATATATTTTTAATTTTAACAAGTCAGAGATTTCATTCCTTTGCTTATGATATATTACTCCACTATTATAAAACAAAATTTTAGATATTCAAATTTAAAGTTCAAAAAATTTGAAGCTTAAAAAAGAAAAAACATCCTTGTGAATAATCAACTAAAAACATAGTACATAAGAAGTATAATAAATGTTTTTATTATAAAATAAAATTATATAAAACTATGTTTGATATTTGTTAACATGAAATTTCTACTTTTTCTAACTATTTTTCTATTAAAGATATAATTTGAATTAAAAGAAGAATAAAATAAAATTTGAGAAGCAATTAAATATTTTCAATTTTTGTATTGATTATAACGATGATACATACCAATGAAAATTTTCTTCTTCCATTAGACTATCCTTAAGTTTTAAATATGATTTGAATAGCACATAAAACTTAGGTCTCATGAGATAGAAGAAGGGTAAAAAATAAAATATTAAAGGTAATTTTTATAAATTAGTATAGGAAAATTTGATATTATAAAAATTATTAAAAAGTAAGACTTTTTTAATCTATTAATAATAATAATAATAATAATAAAAGAAACTCATTTTGTAAAAATATAGCACACTTGTTTTTGGGTCGGGCGCCGGCCCATTTTGGAATGTCTAACATTAACCCAGTAGAATAGAACGATAAGAAAAGTGAAAATATGTAAAATAGAAAAAGAGCTAAATTTTATGGGGCTCTGGCTCTCCATGTCCATGGAGCTCCTCCTTGCAAGCTCTTCTACTTCTCCTGGTTTATCTTCTCATTTCACTATCTCTAACATTAATAGAAACCCAACCATCTCACAGGTGTCTTCCTTTTCTTTTGCTTACTTTTTTTTTTATAATTAACCGATATTGTGTGAATTCACTGCCTCATTCATTTATGTAATATAAACTTTCAACAAAATCTGAGTACACAATTTCTTATATCATCTGGGTTTAGTTGCTTCTTTTCCTTTAGTTTACTGGCAGGTTGAGTGGATTTATGATAATAAAAATCCATGCTTTACTTGCCACAGCATATGCAGATATTTTTGATTGGTTTAACCTTATCCAAATTATTTTATAACTGAACAAAAGAACATAAATAAATAAATAAATTTCGAAATTGGAACTGTTTCCTGCTTGATGTGTGGACTTGGGTTAGCCGTATTTCTTCAAAACGATCTTGCCTTTTGCATATTTTGGCTTGCCACATATCATGATTTTTCCATTGTCTATAACTTACTCATTGCCTGGAATACTAATAAAATGTTTGAGTAGTTACTTTTATGTATTGTATGGCTGCTGTTTTGTCCATCAAGCTAGTGCATTTAGGTTGTTGGTCACACCTACTTGCCTCCCACTTTGTGTGTTAAAAGGTTGTGATAAGTAAGCATATTGTAGAGTAGACTGCTTATGAATGTGTGAATGCAAACATTATTTACCAGACAAATATGTCGTTTAAAGTTTCTATTTTTTGTTCTTTGGATTGGGCTTAATGCAGGTCCGGACATGGAAATCTCTACCTGTGAGGACCTTAGAAGCTCGATTTCAGGGTTTCTTACTGTGTATAAGGACAAATACAAGTAACAGTCTAAGAAGATGCAGTAACTCTAATGAAAGTTTGAAAAAAAGGTTCTTGCTTCATCGTGTATGCAAGCTGAACAAGAGCATTTTTTCTCTGAGTGGATGGTTTTGCATGAAATATACTAGCAGTCACAAAGTGATGAGTTGTTCGGAGAAAATCAGGCAACGTGTTTCTGTTCTTTTTGTCCAGTTAGTTGTTGCAGTGCTGTTTGTTACATCAGTTTCTGTTGCTGTTAGAGAGACATCATCTTGTAAGATCATTTTCGCGTATAAAGTATTCATGGAGATCTTTAAGATATGAGAAGATTGGTTTGTTTACTCTATTTTCTTTCCTAATCCTTGTTTTTATTGTTCAGGGGCTCTCAGTGAAGAGAATCAACTCTTCTTAGAGGCATGGAGAACAATTGATCGTGCATATATTGACAAAACGTTCAATGGACAAAGTTGGTTTCGGTACCGAGAAAATGCCCTGCGAAATGAACCAATGAACAACCGAGAAGAGACGTGTATGTATTTATTTTTTCAATCAATAACATCGTCATAGTTTCTTCTAAAAGAAAAAAAAAAAAAAACTGGAGTTGTTATCAGATTAATATGTTAATGTATATTTTATGGATGAGTTTCGATTTGTTGATTGCCTTAATATTTGGATGATAGCAATGTTGTTATCTGATCATGCATACACCTTCCAACTCTTGTTGGAACAAAAATTCATGCTGCTTTCTACAATCAGATCATACTTAAGGATCTGCATACATGTAATTTGAGGCAATAATATTTGCTGATAAGTGGTGTTGCAATCAGTTAAATATACTATTCTAATCTCTATAGTGTACTAACCCTCTGGATCCTATTTGTGAATTTACTTGCAGACATGGCCATAAGGAAGATGCTTGCCACATTGGATGATCCTTTTACTCGGTTCTTGGAGCCTGAAAAGTTTAACAGTTTGCGGGTATGAGGCTGTTTTCTTTTACACCTTAATCTGTTTCATTTCAATTGGATATCATGGAAACCAGCATACATTATCTAGATTTGTTGTAGTCTGCTTCAGAAGACTTTATATTTATGTGGAAATTCCCCTTTAAATCTGTTAATATCTTCTTTGAAGGCAGTCTGGAACTCGAGGGGCTCTTACAGGTGTTGGCCTGTCGATAGGCTACCCAACAGGTTCTGATAAATTAGCTGAGGGACTTGTTGTTATTTCAGCTACTCCAGGAGGTCCGGCAAATAGGGCTGGAATTCTGTCTGGAGATGTTATTCTGGCAATAGACGATACAAGCACGGAAAGCATGGGTATCTATGATGCAGCAGAGAGGTTGCAGTAAGTCTCTTACTTTATAAGGCAACTAGGCAGATTAGCCATATTGGTTAGATATTCTGATTGAGAGAAAATATGTCTCTAGTTTTATAGAATTAATTGGTAGAACTATATTCTTCTGATAGCCATAGCCTGATAGCCTACACTTGCTATGGATATCATAAACTTAATTGTTTGTAATTTTTTTTCTTCAAAATATTTTCTTAAACATCATTTCTAGAAGATCTTGAGGCATTTGAGACTTTCTATATTGTGAGTATCATTTGATCAAAGGCCTTTTTTTCTTTTTCAATTCCCCAGAAATTCTTCCACAAGCATGATTTTTTATTTAATTTTTTCATACCTATTTTTGGCCCTTTTTACTCAAATATTGATATGCCTAAGCTTTTCTAGTGAATTGCAGGGGACCGGAAGGAAGCTCAGTGGAATTGACCATACGCAGTGGACCTGAAATAAAGCATCTAGCTTTGAGGTAAGTTTTATTTTTTTTTTTTTATTTTTTTTTATTTTTTTTTTCTAATTTCATATATATGGGAAACATGTTCCAGTTTTGTAAGGGATTACATGGTTTGCATATCTCAGAAAGGTTGTTCAATTTGGATTTTCTACTGCTTTATTCCTTAATTAAAGGCACCATTATGTTTTTAGTTGTGCTCTTCTGAATGTAGTAATTGCCATTATGTTTTTAGTTGTGCTCTTCTGAATGTAGTAATTGGAGTGGTACATGATCTGCCTTTCCTTTAAATTTTTTTGAAGTTAACCTATTGCTACTTTCCAGGAGAGAGAGAGTGTCACTGAATCCAGTGAAGTCGAGAATGTGTGAGATTCCTGGTTCAGGGAAGGATTCACCTAGGATTGGTTATATAAAACTAACATCGTTCAACCAAAATGCTTCTGGTAAGTACCAATGGAGGTTGCTATTAGTTTTCCATGATTTTCAAGCTGTTATACTGAAATATTCTGGCAGAAATTTATTTGCTTTCAAGGCCAGAATTGTTGGTTTTGTTTTGTTTTTTTTTTTTTTTTTAAATTTTTAAAGAAATTTGTAATGATAAATGAATGTGATTGTTAATCTATTCTCCAATGAAATTTAACATGCTTTTGCACATATTGTTAAAAAATTGTATAGCTTGCATTCTACAAGTTTTAATAAGTCTTAGTTTTTGATTGTCAAGTTACTTTGCAATGTTGATCACAAAAATAGTAAGCTATTTATTAGTTGATTCAAGATGTTTGATTTTCTTGTTGTTTTTCTGTATGTTGTGCTGACCAATTGGTTACACAGTGGTGCCATTATCCAATAGGATAATTGCTTTTAAATGAATTCTCTTTCAGGTTATTTGAATTGTCCTTACCTTTATGTTACTTCATTTCTTCTCCCTGTCTCTCTAAGCTAATATAATGTGATTTTAATATGGTTTATTTTTAGATATTGACTGTAATTTACATGTTTTTTCCTTGTTTGATATTTTGTTTTTGCCAATACTTTTTTTGTAGGGGCTGTCAGGGAAGCAATTGATACGTTAAGGAGTAATAGTGTTAGTGCATTTGTATTAGACCTTCGAGATAATAGGTGATTAACTTTCAACATCCTCTATTTTTTTTTTTTTTTTTTTTTTTTAAGTTGGCCCTTTGACAGGCTCTCTGAAAGCTTAAATTTGCTGCAGTGGTGGTCTTTTCCCAGAAGGAATCGAGATTGCCAAGATTTGGTAAGTTAATTGAATAGTTAATGGTAAATAAATTTAAATTATATTTTTCAAAAAATAAATGGGTGCCTTAATTTGTAATGTAAACTTAATGATCATGTTATTACTTATTAGGGTTATCATTGGTAAACTTTTGGCTGTGTTAAAATCTTGATGCATTTCCCATTTAAATGCAACATGATTTTGGTGATGCTATTTTCCGACGCTTTTGGGATCTTCTAGTTTCTGTGAATTTCTTTACTGTCGTAGAATTTATGGTATGAACTGCGACTTGTTCTTCTTGGGACCTATTCTGATAAGAGCAAAAAATAGAGTTTGGTTTGATAGAGGAAACCAGGACCTCAAAAGATAATAAGCTTTATTAAATAATAAAACTTCATTATTGGGAAAAACAATCTGATCTGGTGTCCTTTATCACCAGGCTTTATTGACTTAAATAGAGATCATAGAAACAACTTCCTAAAAAGTCTAAACAAACTCTAACACGTAAACAACTTAAATAACCGATAGATAATTCAAATAACCAAATGCCACTTTCCACGCCACTTCCTTCTATAACACCCTGTTACTTGTAACATTGCCCCTCCCTTTCAAATTTGCTCTTGTCCTCAAGAGCAACGTCTGGAAACTACTGTTGAATAAACTTCCAATTTTCCCAGGTTGCTTCTGCAGGTGACGAGCCTGACTAGTGTATTAGAACTTCCTTCTATTTTTTTCTTATCCTGCTATCTAAAACAGCAAGTGTTTACAATCTTAACTTGTCAACTTCTACATCATGTAGATTGTCTTTTGCCTGTACGTGATCTCCGACATGCTTCTTTAAAAAAGATACATCTAATCGATAAGCCACAGCTCCTATCTTTTGCAGTACCTTGTATGGCCCATAATACTTAGCTACCAATTTTAGATTCTTCCTAACTGATATGGAGTGTTGTCGGTAGGGTTGCAACTTAAGATAGACCATGTCACCTTCTGTAAACTCCCTTTCTTTATGTTTCGAATCATACACTTTTTTCATTCTATTCTGGGCCTGCTGGATTTTCTCCTTGGCTTCCTTGAGAATGAGATCGCGCTCCATTAGTTCTAGCTCCACCGCAGCTGCCTTGGTGGTCCCTAGAACATATGTTAATAATGTTGGAGGTTCTTGTCCATAAACTAGCTCAAAAGGGGATTTTCCCATAGTGGAATGAATGCTAGTGTTATAATAGTACTCTCCCAAGTGAGCCATTTTATCCACATCTTCGATTGGGAGCTTGTGAAACATCTCAAATACATCTCCAAGGTCCTGTTGACCACCTCAGTTTGGCCATCAGTTTGGGGGTGATACGATGAGCTGAAGTTAAAACTAGTCCCATTCAATCTGAATAACTCTTTCCAAAATAAACTGGTTAATATGGGATCTCTGTCACGTACAATAGATTTCGGCATGTCGTGAAGACGGAAAATGTTATCAAAAAAACTTTAAGCAACCTTGTCAGCTGTGTAAGGGTGAGTGAGAGCTGCAAAATGGGCATATTTAGACAAACGGTCCACCACGACCATGATAATTGTTTTACACTTTGAATTCGGCAACCCCGTAATGAAGTCCATGGAAATATCTTCCCATATTCTATCTGGTATGGGTAACGGCTGTAGAAGTCCAACTGAGGATGTCTGTTTTGCCTTATGCCGTTGACATACATCGCATTCCTTTATAAATTGACGAATTTTTCCCCTTAGCCCTTTGAAATAAAAGTTGGATCTGATCCGATGAAGGGTTTTTTGGAAACCTTCGTGAGTGCTATTGTGAAACTGACTAATGATGGAGTGGATCAATTCAAAATTTTCTGCCAAGTAGATTCGATCTTTGAAAAACAATACTCCATTTTGAAATTGCCAAGGCCCAACAGCTTCACCTTGTAACACCAACTGAACCGTTTTTTTCAAGTCAAGATTATCTTGTGTTTCATTTCTTACTGCCTCTAACCAATTTGGAATTGGCCTTGATAATGCAGTAAGCTTGCCTTGCAACTCGTGACTTTCTTCTCTTCTGGAGAGTGCATCAGCTACAATATTATCCTTACCTTTCTTATATTGGATGACAAAGTCAAACCCCATCAACTTGAAGAGCCATCTTTGTTGGGCTGTTGTGGTTATTCGTTGGGCCCATAAGTGCTTTAAGCTTTGGTGGTATGTCCGAACAATGAATTGTCTTCCAAGGAGATAAGGCCTCCATTTCTGAATTGCTAATACCAAGGCTAGGATTTCTTTTTCATAAGTAGACAACAAAAGGTGCTTCCCTTGGAGTGCATGACTACAATAAGCTATTGGTTGATCTTGTTTCAGAACTGCCCCAACTCCAGAGCCCGATGCATCACACTCTATAATAAACTCCCTTGAAAAATCAGGTAGTGCAAGAACAGGGGCACTAGTCATAGCCCCCTTCAATTTTTCGAAGCCCTCTTCTGCCGCAGGTGACCATTTGAACCCTTCCTTTTTAAGCATTTTGGTCAGCGGGTTGGCTATTTTACCGAAGTTCTGGACAAATTTTCGGTAGTAGCCACATAACCCCAAAAACCCTTTCAATGCTTTTTGAGTGACAGGTTTGGGCCATTGCAACACTGCTTCAATCTTTTCTGGATCTACAGCCACTCCCACGTCAGAGATTATATGACCAAGGTATTTAACTTCCTTTTGGCCGAATTGACATTTCTCCAATTTCACAAATAGTTTGTGAGTAGACAATATCGAAAAAACCATCTCTAAGTGAGTTACATGATCATCCCAATTTAAGTTGTAAATTAGAATATCATCAAAAAAGACTAACACAAATTTCCTCAAGTAATTTTGGAATACCTGATTCATGAGAGATTGAAATGTGGAAGGTGTGTTGGTGAGACCAAAAGGCATTACCAAGAACTCGTAATGGCCATGGTGAGTTCTAAATGTTGTTTTTTCAATGTCTTGGGGGTGAACTCGGATTTGATGGTAGCCTGATCGAAGGTCCAATTTAGAGAAATATTTTGCTCCATGTAGTTCATCCAATAATTCATCGATTACTGGAATTGGGAACTTATCCTTGATGGTGATCTTGTTCAGGGCCCTATAATCGACGCACATTCTCCAAGAGCCATCATATTTTTTTAACTAAAATGACTGGTGATGAATATGGACTATTGCTGTCTCTAATGGCCCCTGTCTTTAACAAGTCTAACACTATTTTCTCAATTTCTGCCTTTTGGAAGTGAGGATAACAATATGGTTTGACGGAAACTGGTCCTTGTCCTGGCTTTAAGGGAATCTGGTGGTCATGTAGTCTCGAGGTGGAGGAAGGCCCGCTAGTTCTTCTAGGATAGCTTTGAATTTTATGAGGATTGGACGAATGTCAGATGGAATTTCAACTAGAGATGGAAGTTGTGATGGACTTCCCGTTAATTGCAAGAAGACCCCAAGTCTCTGTTTCTTGGTCACATGCTCTATTTGAGCATTACTAACAATTTGATTTTCAGGTTGAGAAACGCCCTGTAACATGACTTCCTTTCCTTTCACCACAAATCTCATGAGAAGTTTAGAGAAGTCCTAGATGATTGGTCCCAAAGTTTGCAACCATTGTGCCCTAAGCACTACATCATATCCTTCTAATGGTAATAGATAAAAATCAATGGACAAAGGAACCCCTTGTAAAATAAGCGAAATCTGATTGCATTTACCTAGGCTTTCTAATCTCTTTCCTGATGCTACCGTGACTTCAAATTTGCCTTCTTTTTGTGGTTGTAATCCTACTTTTCTTGCAAATCTCTCATTCACAAAGTTATGTGTGCTTCCAATGTCTACAAGAACTAGAACAACTCGATCGGCTATTTTTCCTTTGAATCTCATAGTTTGCGGGTTATAGACTCTAGCAATGGCATGCAAAGATTTGCCTGGCATTTCAGATGATGAATCGTCCTCCACTTCCTTTTCAATGTCATTGTCGCTGTCTCCCCATACAGCCTGTATAGAGAACAACTTCTTACACCGATGCCCCAGCTCAAATTTTTCATTGCATCTGAAACAAAGCCCCAATCTTCGCCGCTCGTTGATTTCCTCCAAGCTCAATCTCTTGATATTATTACTAGGAATTTTAGGAGTTGAAGTGGGCTGAGGGCGTGATGTGTTGTTTTTACCTTGACTCGTGTTTTCTTTGGGCCTCATTTCTGGCTTCGTAAAGCTTGGCTAACCCAATGGCTGAGGATAATATTGAAGGCCTTCTCGCTTGAACTCCAATTCTGATATTGTCCTTTAATCCACTGATAAAACAACTGACCTACCTTTTCTGTGCCAAATGTCCAGTTTGGGAAAGCAATTTTTCGAACTTAGTCTGATATTCCTCAACAGATCCTTGCTGCTGCAATTTGGTGAGTTCGCCAAAGAAATCAAAATATTGGTTTGGACCGTAACGAGAGTGAAACCCATATTTAAATTCTTCCCAAGTAATAACTGGTGCTTCCTGCTTCAAGAGTTGATACCATAATTGGGCGTCTCCTTCTAAATGAAAGGATACAAGCGACACTTTATCAATTGATGGAGTATCATGAAACTGGAAAAATTGCTCAACTCGGCATATCCAGTTGGTAGGGTCTTCTTGGCCGTTAAAACGAGCAAAAGTCAATTTGACTAACTTTGGTGTGTACGTGGAATGAGAGCCATCCCCACTACTACTACCATGAGCCCCACTGAGGCGGGTCTTTGCTCCAGAACTCTCTCATTCTTGCCTTGAAATTTGATCAATTTGGGTATTGAGTTGGGAGAATAATTCCTTTAGTTGATTGATGATGGTTTGCTGTCCCCCTGACAGGGACTGCACTTCCTTCTCTAATTGCTCCACTCTCTGATCCATGTCTGAGCTCTGATACCACTTTGGTATGAACTGCGACTTATTCTTCTTGGGACCTATTCTGATAAGAGCAAAAAATAGAGTTTGGTTTGATAGAAGAAACCAGGACCTCAAAAGATAATAAGCTTTATTAAATAATAAAACTTTATTATTGGGAAAAACAATCTGATCTGGTGTCCTTTATCATCAGGTTTTATTAACTTAAATAGAGATCATAGAAACAACTTCCTAAAAAGTCTAAACAAACTCTAACACGTAAACAACTTAAATAACCGACAGATAATTCAAATAACCAAATGCCACTTTCCACGCCACTTCCTTCTACAACACCCTATTACTCGTAACAATTTATCATCAAAAGCACCAAAAATTCCAATTTAACTATTGGTCCTCCAAAAGAGATTATCTTGCTTCCTTTCATCTGTTTCAGATCATGTAGTAAGGATTCTGGATTCTGATAATTTTCTGTTGCATTCAGGTTAGATAAAGGTGTGATTGTGTATATTTGCGATAATCGTGGTGTTCTAGATATATATGACACAGATGGAAGTGATGCATTAGCAGCTTCAGAGCCCCTAGCAGTGCTGGTATGCTTATATTTCATAATTGTTAGATTTTTGGTCTTCAAAATGCTCTATGTTCATGGAATAAATTGGCATATAGGTTCATAAGTGTTCTGTCTGGCCCTTCTATTTCTATTGTTGGCATCTCTTTCTCTATGTATTGTGTATGTTTAACTTAAACCTCTGTGGATTTGAGAGTGGCCTATGGTCCGCAATGACCAGGAACTGGTTTTACTTCAAACGTCCTTACAAAGATTTCTCAAATCTAAGAAAAACCTTTAATAAGAAAATTGAGAGTTTATGAGAAAATAGTAAAAAGTTTCAGTGCTACAAATTGACTAGATTGAATAGTTTCTGTCCTTTTTGGATACCAGTCTTCAACTAACTTTCTTCATACTGTTCTTTTATTTATTTATTTATTTTTTTTTTAATTTCAGGATTTATAGGGCCTGTTCATTGCTGTTTGCAGAATTGGTCTGAAAAAATGAAAACAAAACATTAGAAATTGAATTATGTATTATCAAAACCTAATTACAAGTTTAGTTATGTATTTTATAAATAGTTTTCTAACACAACAGGTCAAGGTGATGAAAATTATATGGTATCAATATATTGAAGAAGTAGAAGAAAATTATTATTTTTCATATTTTCAAAACATGCATAAAACAATTCATAGTTGTTTTCAAATTTAACACAAGTTTTCAGAGACTTTGTGGCTTTCAAATGCAGAATCAAACACAATTTTTCTAAAACTTATATTTGAATGGTGCCAAGGGTAGGCGTTTCTTAAACAGCATTTACTGTTTAGTGATGATTTTTTTTCTTCGCCAATGCACAGGTTAACAAGGGAACTGCAAGTGCAAGTGAAATATTGGCCGGTGCTTTGAAGGACAACAAACGTGCTGTGTTGTTTGGAGAACCCACTTTTGGGAAAGGGTATCTAATATTCCTTCTACTTCATGCATATTCATATACCACATATTTTCTAATTAGAGCTTTTTTTTTTTTGGCCACTCTGCAGCAAAATTCAGTCAGTTTTTCAGCTCTCTGATGGCTCTGGCTTGGCTGTTACGGTTGCTCGTTACGAGACGCCTGCTCATACTGATATTGACAAGGTCTGTTGCTGATTCTGCAGCATCTCCTTTCTCTCACTCTCTTACAACTAAATCTTCTTTTGCCTCGCTCCCCTGTAGGTTGGTGTGATTCCGGACCATCCTCTGCCAATGTCTTTTCCCAAGGACGGGGATGGGTTTTGTGGCTGCCTCCAGGATCCTGCATCTACTTGCTATGTCAACAGAGTCCAACTATTTTCAAGATAGCAAGATTTTTTTTTTTTTGAATGGCAGAATTTTGTGTAGTTTTAGCATTCTTTTGAAGGTTCACTAATTCTTTTTCTAGTGTAAAATTAAAACTTGCACATACAGACTTTAAATTAATTGTCATAATGAAGCACAAAATTTTTATATCAATGAGAATTATTTGGTGCTATGTCTTGGCAAAAACTTAAATGCTGAGCATATGATATGAGGGACCATAAAATGAGTATGTTAAGAGTTACCCTTCAATTGTAGCAAATAGAAGCATAATTTCCCCGCTGGCCAAGCGAAAGGAAACATAAACAGTATAATATGGTGGATTCTGGTCATAAGTATGAGATTAGTGACACTCCCATGCAAAAAGCTGCATCAGTGAGCTAGGCAATGAAGACATCCTTCAAATGACACATGCAAAAAGGATGGTCAATAGAATCAAAGTTGAGGGTTCGCCAACTGATTCATTCGATGCTGCGGCTATTTTGAAGAGCATTATTTTATACTATGGACCCTAAGTTTTAATGTACCTTAAATTCTACCCTGACAGGATGATTCTGCATTCAATTTTACGTTTCTATCAAATTATAGGTATAAGACGGTTCACATTCAATAAGCCAGATGAATTCTGCCTTGAGAATTAAGTAAAGATTTTGTTTTGACTCTTAAAATTTCACCTTCCTTTTTCTCCCAAGAAGAGAAAAAAAGGGCAATCTTAAGATGTGATTTACCAAAATATTCAACTGTCCAGAGAAAAATAACATATCTTTACAAGTATACATGAATCTAAATGTCATACCATTGCGGAAAAGAATATATGAAAACTCAAATATATGACTGAATGATCCCTCGCTAGGATGTTGTATAAGCTAGGCTCTGGTTGAAGAACATTCGATCTCAGCTTCAGATATTCAACTGGGTGTGGAAAGCAATCAAGCAAGAATGGGAACATGAAACCCCTTTAAATTTGGAGACTCGACTGGAGAACTTGGAAGCAAAACCAACCAAATTGATGTTCAATGTTCAAGCTTGCTGTTTGCAGTTCACCAAAACATCTTAGCCCAAAAACCTATTAATGGGAAGATAGCAATCAACAATCTCAGTAGTAAGGGTGTGTCACTTGTTCTACTCCCGCTCAACTTTCCCTCCTGTGTCCTTTGTGATTTGCTAGTCTCTGGAGTCGCCCTTCGCCTGAATCTTGCTTCATCCAGATAATCCCACCCACCAAAACTGGGGTCATCTTGCCTCACCTTATTAACTGAACCATTATTATTACCCACCCAGGATTCATTACCCTTCTTTACCTTTCTAGTTCCCTCACCGTCTTGTCCTTCTGTCTCCATTTCGACACTACTTACATATGTGGTAGACGTTTTCCTCCTCATCCTGGCCTTGTGTTTAGGGTTGTGTTGTGTCATACCCCACAATTTATCAAATGCTAAATACAGTACTGACAGCACAAGGGGAATTGCCAATGACATAAGAAAAGCCTTTGGACCAGTGGCAAGAAGAAAGGATATAAGGATGGCTGGAGAAAACCAACCATAGGATTTGAATACCTGTACAAACCCAATGTTACCCACACAATTGGGGCCATAATTATTTGGTTGCCAATTTTACAGTAGAAAATCCAACATTCTTATCACACCAAACTTAAACAACTCCTCAAATGTTCAGTAACAGACATTATACAACCCAAAATTTTGAACATCTCAAAATTCATATTGCTCCCAGTTCATTAACAATTATGTTTGCAGAGGAGTTTTTAGAAAGCAATAATATTACATATACTGATATACACCTCTAGGACAAGAAATTACATAATGATCCAAATGATTTCATAACAAGTACAACTGTTTGAAGAAAATTTTCAAACTGGCATCAAACTGGACATAGCCTACTACTTTGCCACAATTATTAATGAATGATTTCATGTAAACAAGAAGCATGCCTCCAAGCTAGGTGATTATACTGGTTTACAGTACTTTTATTTAGCAAATTTCAAATTTCAATGCATTTTAAAGAAGCATTAGATTTACAAATGCTTTAGGATTTTTAATATAACATGTCCTAAAGGCAGAACAATCAGGAATGTGGAGTACTTGAAAAAAGAAAAAAAATAGAAAATTACCTTGAGTATCCAGACACTTTCTATAGCTTCATCCAACGAATTCCAAGACTTTTTCTTTTTCACTTTGGGCTTCTTAGACCACCAACGCCTCTTCCTTTTCAAATTCTTCCTATAAAAACTTTCGTCTTCTTCTTCTTCTTCGTCGTCGTCGTCGTCTTCTTCATCATCATCTTTTTGGTTAAAGTTCTGAGCGGGGAAATTCTCAGCATTGGAGTCCCACCTGCGGGACCTGGTGGTGGAGGTTATGAGTGGGAAGCGAAGATGAGGATGAGAAGTGATGAAGTGAAAGTGAGTGGGAGTGGGTTTGGGTTTGGGTTGTGGGAAGTGAAGTTGAGCCTGAGGGAAGAAGACGAATAAGGAGATGGGTTGTAATTGCTGATGTTGTGGGAGTGAAAGGAGAAGACCATTCTCCATTAGCCTCCTCTCTGTACTTCCATTTGCCACGTTATTATTATCTTCTCCATTCAAGTTTGTTTTGCTCTTTAAACTTTCCCAAGACACAAGAATCACGCTTCTCTTCTGCTAAACGACATCGTTTACTTTAGTTTACTCTCCCTATAGTTTTCTTTTCTCCACTAAGACAGTTCGTTGCTTTGTAGTGTATCAGTATTAATAAATGCCTAGTAAAAAGGAGACTATTAACTTCTTGGTTTTAATAAAGAGTATACGACTTTTTCCCATCTCAATAATATTTTAATAATACTTTTTCCAAAATACCATATTCAAATTTATATCCTAATTTTGGCATTATTATAATCTTATATTACTATTATTACTCATCAAACCCCTAAAATCTACTCCGATTAATCTTGTTAATTATCGGTAATCGAGTAATTAGGGTTTACATAACCATCTCTCTCAAGTCAAATTATGATTAATCCTAATCACCAAAATCCAATATTCTACCACCAAAAGACTCGTTGACCTTACCTATTCAAAAACCCTGATAATTTAGACCTAGTTTGCTCTTTGTTCATCGCAAGAATATAAATTTAGATTATAAACTAGTATTTTAAAGTTTGTGAATAGAAAAGTGTCATTAAATTATTATTTGGATGAAAAAAATCATTAATTCCTTAATAAATTATTTAAAAATATTCATCATCTTATTTTATCTCAAAGTAGAGTATTATATAAATATTACTATATTAGATAGAATAAATTTCTACTGTAATCTATAAATTTGAGATATACGACATCAGATTTTTTTTTTTTTTTTTTTTTAACACCTCTATTTTGGTTCCCTATTTCTTACTACCCCATATTTTAGTTCTTAGTCTTCTCCAGAAATTAAAAATTAAAAAATCTTTTATTCCGCACTAACGGTAACAAACGGCTGGTCGTTTATATTTCTAGAAATTAGTAGGACCCACACTTTCAAGTATATAAAAGCCGTGAGATAGATAAATACGGTGTCGTTATTGATTTTCATTCATTCTCCTAATTTCTCCTTTCACCTCCGCCTCTTCTCTGAAGAGAAACAGATACTCTCGTGAAGAAACAATGAGGCCGATGCAGATGGAGTTCTTCGGAGACATGGATGAGCAAGGATCGACGGTGGCGATGGACGTGGACGACGTCGATCCACTCGAGATCTTCGGCGAGGGCGTCATCTCCATGGAAAACAAGCTCGTCGACGCTGACTTCTTCAATAAATTTGAGGACGATTTCGACGATACCGACATTAACTAATTCTACGCCGCCCAAATGACATCGTTTTCGATCACTGATTTATGGTTTGCTTTTGTTTTCTTTCGTTTTCCTATGTGAAACCTGCCCTATATCATAATTGTAATTGACTATTAGGATGAATATTGAGTTATATTAAGCTTATTGGGGTGAATATGGATGTTTTCCAATTTTTTCCATCATTTGATGAATGCATCATATTATTACTTTATGAAACCAGGAAATTAATTGAGTAATTACTAAATTTTGTTTGCTAGGGTTTTAACTCATTACTAATCTATATTTAAGAGACCCCGTTCAAGGAAATTCTTTACAATAATTGTTGGTACGGAGTAATTGTGTAGTTTTTAGTGTTATTTCATTGGATTAGCGGCCACAAACCTGTCTTAGTAAATACTTTTGCCTGTTTTCAGTTAGCTTTATTGATGGTGCTTGAGGATTCACATAGCAGTTTCAGGAATATAATAGTGATAGTGGTACCTTAGTGCAGAGATTCAGGACTATCGATGGTGTTCATGATGAATTGAATGAATGTTTTTGAGTCATGTTTTGCATTGAGTACACACTATAAAGGAAGAGTTGGTTATAAAAGGTGAAGAATTTAGATTCTCTCAATTCATTTATCTGGGTATGAGCCAATCTCTGCTCAGGAAGTTTCCAGGAACTTTGAGGGAACATAGATATGATTAACATTCTGCATTCCTTTTTTTTGGTTTCAGTTAACTTGTCCTAACTCTGTTGAATCACGAGTGTGATTCTGATGACCTTTTACGCTGAGGACACCTAGTTTGTTCTTATAAATTTCATCTTTAAAGTTTCTTTAGAATAAAAAGAAAGAAAGGATTGGATGATCTGTGGGATGCATTCATCTGTAGTTCTGTAGTTTGCTAGAATGCCTTTTCTGCAACTCATGGGGTATTTTTTTGCATATCTAAGTATTGAGGTTGCATCCTTACTGTAACTAGTGGTTATTACTTCATTCTTAGGGCAACACACAAAAAATAATGTACTGTTAATAGTGTGCATTTTATCGACTGACCAAGAATAATAGACATGGAGAAAAAAAGTTTATACCCTGTCAGTTGAGAGAGTGAAGGCCGCAAGTCAATGGCACCTTCAAATGAAATTGATTTTTCAAGAAAATTTCTGCTGAAACTTCCTCTACAGCCAAATTTGTAGTGTGCATCGTCTTACTAAGAATAATTTGTTCTGACCCTGTGGGGATACTCTTTGTAGTTTTCATTTGTGATCAAGATGACAAGCTCAAACATTTGGTTCTTTAATGCATCAATGAAAATCCTGTGTATGATTCATGATGTTGATTTATTACCGACTTTCCATATAGCCTAACAAGTTTTTGCAAAAACTTTACCCATGGATTATCAATAACCAGAATGATGCTTTGCAAACATGATCATATCTGCTATTGAACAAAATCTGGGTAGATGGCTTAGTATTGCAGAGGGCGCATCTTTGGAAATTTGCATCTTGAGCTGATGCTTCACATTTCATTATGGAAAGCTAAAAATGTTTGACGCACTTTGCCTAATTCAAGGAAAGGTTTTCAGCAAAAATAGCCAATTGGAAGTGGGTTTGTTGATATGTGTTAGTTTAACTTGCGGAAAATATTGTAATATTTGACAGTTGACACTTCATCGAGCTCCCTGTGATCAAAGTGGCGGCGCTCTACACTCATGCACATGGGAAGCTTATTGAATAATCCTCTCCATAGTTTTAATTTATAGACCAAATTTTGATTTTGGATCTAGAAAATGCTGCTGTCTCTTAAATATAAATGTCGATTTAGTGCTTTTAAAACTAACACCCTCATTCATATTCAACCAGTTGAACTAACTAATACTGACAAAGATGAAATACACAATAACAGAGAACTATTATCAAATGAAGGTTGAAATTATGATGGACTAATTGTCCCATATACTCTGCGTTAAGTACCAACTTAAGGCAATTTTGATATGAACTGTTACAGTAATAAATTACAATATATATAATTGTAAATATAAAGATATTTAATAGAAGAAAAAAAAAATGTACGAAGTCGTGTGGCTGAAACAACTTAAAAGTGATTATGGTATATTCTATTGAATCAATTCCCTTAAAAGCTTGTGTGCAAAGTACATCTATACAGGTTTTGAATATTAATGACTGTACAATAAAATCTGACTTCAATTGCGAAATCCTCGAGGAGTTGCAGTTGCAGGCACACTGACTGAATATACTACCCCCACCCAGAATACTCATCAACAACTTAATTAAGCTCTGAACTGAAATTTGGAAGCAGGCCTTCAGCCATACCTTTCTTAGCTGATTGATCTGTTACTTTGTTCATCATTTCGTGACCTTTTGCCAGTTAAATAATTCTTTCTCACATTCTGAAGAAAACAACAAAATTTGATCCAACACTCAGTTATATGAACCATTAACTTGATAATGAACAAAGCAAAGCTAGCCGAAATACAAGTATCTCTTAAGGAACAAGTTCAGTTTGTCTACTTTCATGACAAAAATCAAAAGAACTTCAAGGGTTAATCAATGAAAGTATTATAAGTATGAAGTGGACTTTCTGTACCTCTAGCAATGAGATGTAATAGAAATCCTCCATATGCTGCATAAGTGCACTCCCATCTCGAATTGAACGAAATATATTGATCTCAGTTTGCAGTATCTTTTCGATGAGTTCCTTCTCACCTTTCATCTGTAAAATTGTTCTCATTTTCCATGAGTCATAAATCAGAATGGCCTTACTGAAATTAATATTAACTCTTTAACGAATATGAACAACCAGTAAGGAGTTATACAGCAAGCACAAGAAGTCTTGCAACGTTAATTCAACCTCAGTTGAGACTACAATCCAGGGATTTCTTATCTCATTTTTTGAAAGTTCTTTGGTAAGGGTTACACTAGTGTCATTTACTTCATTCCTTGTGGAATGGCAGGATAGGGAAGGTTTTTGTTCTGAGAATATCATTTACTAAATTTTGAGTAGCACATAATTTTTATGTGGACGTTAGCATTATGACTAGAGTATTAGTTGTTATCTATGTTCCTTTAATTCCTTATTCATCATTTTTCAAGCAAATATGACTCCAAGGCTTAATGATCTAATACTTGTCAAGGGACAAACAAGATCAAGTAAAATAGATATGTACAAACATACACAAAAGCATGCATCCACACATTCACCGAACACACACACATATAAACATGTGTATAATTTTACTCAAAGCTAAAAAACAAATGAAATGATCAAGTGACAAGATACATACGAATTCACTAAAAATAAAGTCTGGTGTGGACTCCCCATATACATCAGCCTGGTGACCATCTTTTAGAACCTCCATAGTTTCCTGAATAGCAAAGCTTAGAAGTTTAAGTAACCACATTCATTAGCTAAGAGCACTCCAGAGAGCTTCAAGACAGGGAGCAAATGTAATTTAACCCATAGACAGAATAACAAACAAGATTGGAGATTTTAAATCTTATAAAACTTAACAATGCAAACTAGCCAGTCTAGTAAGCTAATATCCAAGTTCCTCTGACAAAGGGCATTGTTAGGCAATTCCAAAAGGATTCCAACAACTCGTAGAAGTGTGTTTAGATCTTATTGTTATTATATGAAGAATTAAGGTAATAAGACTGATTTTCTTATGGTTCCTCAATTGTTTGAGAACTCTGCAGCTTGAATGAGGCAGTTCAAAAGAACATCAACAAAATAGCCAAACTGCTTAACTTAACAAGAGGACCAGGAAATTGAGTCATTTTGAAAAGAAAAATTAGCATAATTTTGTGTTAAAACAGTTCTTGTTTTCCTTTTGAAATCATGTCAAGTACCTTCATCAACAAGTGACATTGGATATAAGCTTGTGAAGATGGTATTTGTTCTGTCCATAGTAGGTGGAGTAGAACATAAATATTATTTACTACATCATGTATATCAAGGACGGGTCATAAAACCCACAATAGGTACCATATGGTTTGCATTCAAAAAGAAAATTAACAGAAAACTGGAGCCTAAAATAAATGACTGACCAAGGCATCTTTTAGATATCCAGTTGTGAAGTACACAGGTTGAGCAACGTGACAGTAGCCCATCCAGCGTGGGATAGTAGGGATTATGTCTCTCTGGTTCACCACTCTCCAACTATCTTTAACTTTCTGCACATGTAAGAATTAAGGGTTGTGTAAATATTCATGGAAAATGTGCTATGTCTGACAAACGAGAATATATGTAAAAGAAAGTTTCCTTTACAGCAGAAAGTCAATAACATCAATAACAACGCACTTCATGTGTCTTTTCTAGTCTCCTTTCTCATGAAATGCAGAACACATATTTAAGCATCCTAGTGTTTTTTATTTTATATTTTCAATGATAAGAAGCATGAGAATGTTTTTAATTTAAACATACTAGATGCTGATAACATGTCCTAGAATCCACTATCTAGGACCTTAAATGAGCTGAATCAAGTAGGAATACGTAGCTTCGAAAAGAGCAATACTGCACTTAATAACCATTGATAAAAACTTTTTAATACAAGTTCATGTAACATTACGTGTGATTGCTGTATCATCCCTAAAAACTTTTTTATACAAGTTAATCTATTTAGTTCAACCATCAAATAATTTTGTATCATATCAACTAAAATAAGAGTTTGTAAAGGTAGTTTATATATGTAATATTATTCTATCAAAAATGAATATTTAAAAGTAATTTAGGTCGTTGTAGAATCTTCAAAGTAGCATTCTGATGAAACCACCTGATATGTGGTATACAGTAAGAAAGCCAAGAGAGGCAAGCAAGGAAATTTGGGCTATAACAAGAAAGATTCTGATGGGTGAGGTGTTAGGGTGAGCTGTTAGGTGAGTTGTAGGAATTGGTTATGAGATTAACAAATGGCAGTAAAGGAGCGGATAAGGGAATAATTCTGTTAGGGGGAAGAGTGAATAAAAAGGGGAGGCAATTGAGAGAGTGATCATGGAAAAATTCATATGGATATTGGGAGGAAATCTGACCCTCGAAGTTCAACTGGGATGGGTTTCTTTTATGCCTTATTTGACTAATATAGTTACTCAGTTTATCATTTGTTTCTCATTTCATCATCGCCATTTCCGTTTGCTTATTATCTGTCTTTTTTAAGTAATCAGTTTATCATTTGCTTATCTATTCCATTTCATTACCGCCATTTCCATTTATTCATCCTTTGGTTTTATTTAAGAACTAGCTTGCTGTTTCATTTAAGAACTGATTGCCGTATTTGAGTTGTGAACACGCGGGTATCCAACACATTCCCATGATTTATAGAATACAACTATTTGCAGCAGGAGATGACTTCAGCAGTAAGTGTGGGGCCATAATCAAAGGGAAGCTAACCCACATTTTCAGCATATAACAGAAAAAAAACTTAAAAATCTTCAGTAAAATAGTTTATTACCTCATTATAAACATCTGCAAATTTCTTGTTCCCAACTCTGGGAGATCCGAAGTTATACATAGTCAAAGAAATGGCCCCACACCTGATGCAAACAAAGAACAGGAATCCTATTATTGATCATGCACCATGTACTCTAAAACATGTAGTTGATAACCAATCTCAAATGACATAAGAATAACAAAAGAATTTTGGCTGTGGATTACAATTGTTTTTTTTTTTTTTCTTTTTTATAGGAAACTGAAAGATATATGTTAATGAAAAAAGAAGTTACAACAGTCAACAGCCAACCAGATGCCCAGAATAGACTCTAAAGAAGACAGAAGCTGTACAACATGGATGTGAAGCAATGTATACAAAAAACCACAAGGCAAATTTAATGGATAACCGCATCCCAATTGAGATGCTTGAATTACAATGGTTTTTGACATCCCTGAATCATACCAACAGATCTAATTGTTTGATATATTGATCAATTACTGGTTAACAGGAAGAAACAAATTGTATTTACCAGTTTATAAAGCACTTGACATCACTGAGCATATAGAAGGCAAACTATACTTCTATGCACAAACACATCTGCTTAGTTTTGATTTTTGTGCAATACTAGTTTTGGCAATAATTTTCTGTATAATGTTCATCGTGAATAATGTTATGATATTAATTCCATATTTTAAACGATAAAAACTTCACTATCATCAAACAGGTACCTCATTCTTTCTCATTATTCAATTCACATAATAACTGTAGTACAAATTCTAATCAACTTATGGAAAGTATGGCTTTGAACAGGGCATAATGACAGAAAAACATTTTTGCAGTCAACTTCAACCAGTTTGGGATGGAAAGTCAATTGAATTGTTATATGAAACTAAACATGATGAGCACAAAAGAATAGCTTTATTGAGGAAATGGAATAACTCACTTCGCTAATTTACTTGATGAAAGTTCAAGGGCAAAAAGGGTAGCTAATGCACCACCCAAACTATGACCAGTCGCATAAACATGCCACTTGTGCGATGGCTCATCATCATCGTCTCTGCAACAAGAAAAAAGCGAAGAAGAAGAAGAAGAAGAGAGAGAGAGACATATTTCTTTGTCAAAAGAAGGGACATTTGAAGATATAAGTGTTATATACAGAATTTTGCAAGAGAAGATATCATTTTTTTACAATGCTTCAATAACATTTCTACATAGCCCCTGATCAAATGATATCAATGGAAGAACCAATCTCTGAGTTAGAATTTGAAATATATCTTAGGTTTTTGCAAAACTTTTAGACATGGAATATAACAACAGATTTACTGAAGGAACACAGGATATCAAGAGTAATCTATACACTTTTTCTTACATAAACTCGTGAATTTTTATCAAAGTTTTCTCTCATTTAATATTCCATCATTAGCATCATGTGTGAAGATAAGATTATTACATTTTAAGCAAGAACACACGTAGATAATTAGATTTAAGCAAGAACACACTTACGTATAACCTATTGCCACTTTAATGATGGAGAATATCCTTATCCTGACTGAATCATATGCACTTAAAAAACCACTATGAACCTGCAAAGGTTATTTCAGCAATCACTATACCATAGAGGTGAAGCTGATATTGCTATCATCTGCATTCTCATAAATATTTTTAAACAACAATAAATCTGTGTTAGTTATATGCATACTTGAACTTCTTGCTTGAAGTCTCCACCGATCCTTTCAGGGTTTAGCCTATAGAATTTGAAAAATAAATTAATTATTTAAATTAAAAAGCAATAATAAATGTAGTTTTGCATGGTTTAATTCATATTCTAAAAGAACGACCAATTAATAATAGACTATGGTACAAATACAAAAAAAAAAAAAAAATGCACAGCCAACTAGTAAATAACATATATTGACTGATAATGAAAGAATCCCTCAAAATTTAAACAAAAAATTAATTAACCAAGTCAGACTATGGATAGACTTCTGACATTACCCAGCAGGAGCTAGCATTAGATCAGTTCGCAAATCCTTCCACTTTACCTGGAAAAATAATAAACAGGTAATTTAAACTGAGTGCTAATAATCACACTTAGGCAAACAAGAAAAATTAAGTCCTACTTGCTCTGTCCCCCTGAAAGCGATGACCAATCTCTTCCTTTCAGAATCACGCCAAATTGCCACCTGCAGCTTCATCCTATAACTTAGGCATCTTGCAGCAGAGGTTGTTCAAGATAAACATGTTTAACTTTATTTTGAATTCTACAAAGAAAAGATGACTTCACCTGAGTATCTGTGGATTCATTATCTAAGAAACAAATTTTCTCAAATTCAGACTTGATAAAACTAGGTTGGCCCAGTGAAGTGGCAAGCATTGCCCAAGCCTCCATGGCACTTTCTGCCGATGAAAAAAGTGCTTTCATCTCCTCAGCTTTCTTTTCATCAAATACTGGATCCTCCAATGAGCTAGGGAACTTTTCATTTTTGAGTGTAGCATCCTCTTCCTTGTTTAATTGAGAAACTGCTGTAGTCAAGACCATTAATGCTCCTAAAACAGAATCAGTTTGCTTTAACAAATCCTCGGAAGCCTTCTTTATGTCTGAAACTGTCTTAATGCTAGGTGAACCATTTTCTTCATCATTATGGTCGTCCTTAACTTCTGGAGTTGCCAGTCCTGATTCAATATAACCTGCTTCCGCAATCTTCCGTGACTGTAAGCCAACTTTGTTTAAGATGTCAAATGCATCCCACTTTAATTTTTCTTCTACAGGGAGACCTAGTTTTTGAACAACACTTTGATTGATGATATCAGCAAAGTTATTCCAAAAATGTTTACTAGACTGCGTAGAATTGCTAGCTTGTGTCACATCATTATCAGTGTAAATCTTCTCTATATTGCTTTCTTCACTGCGGCTTGTGTCATTCAAAGAGGCTTCTGAACCATTGTCCATCTCAGAAGGCCTGTCCATTACAAGGGCAGCATTCTCAGATTTTCCTAAACTTTCTGTTCCATTACTGTTTGAAGACAGATCCTTCATTGGGTTGGACTCATTAAATGACTTCAATTGCCCAAAAGCATATTCAACAAACTGACGTGCTGGCACGGCCTCAGAGCCGGAAAACATTTTTAGAGCAGACTCAAAACCATTTTTCTTAAGAAATTCTGTAACAATGGGAAGCTTCCACCACTTTTTTTCTTCTTCAATTTCATCAAAACTTTTATACTTGACCTGAAACCTCACACTTGGAAGTCTAAGTGATAGAGAAGATCAACAAAAATGCCCAGAAATAAACAGATGAAATATTATAGCCAGCATGAAATGGCCGCATAAAACACTAACAATGCATATTACCAGGCACAAGTTCATGATAATGAATATACTAAGGTATTACCATGCCTCTGAATGAAGAAAAATAATAACACAGCAACATCCCTTTGCTTTTTTTCCCAATTAAGTTTCTTAAATCCTTTAAGAATAAGAAAAAACTCAAAGTTGCAATCTCTTGAGAATTATAACTCTTTTGCCACAAAGAAGTTAAAGAGGATGACAAATGAGTGGAACAGAAATGCTAGAAAAGCATTGAGATAAAGAGATAAGCTTCTGCAGTCCATGATCAAGCTTACTAGAGTTACAAGTATTTACTAATTTATTGATTAATTTTAATTTTCTTGTATAGGAAACAAAAGCTTACCACTGAATGCAAGAAAGTATATCAAAGGACATTAACACAATGCCTCAGGAGTCAGATGACACCTCTTTTCGAGCTGATGGATAGATATCGTTACCACTATTATATCGCACTGATCAAAAACCCCTAAATTTTGACACTTATTAATCCCCTTAATCATAATTTTAAGCTGAAGTGGTTAAAAGGCTCATACAAAATTCAAGAACTCAACCTCTGCAGTCTTGTGACTAGTTCTAGCAAACAACAGTCCCGAGCTGAATGATAATTTTGAACATAGAACCATTTCAAAATCTCAAAGAAAAACCTTCAGCACATAAAAGTAGAACAGCAAGAGCCTTTAAAAAAGATATCTAATATCTTCATCCATCAAAAAGGATATCAATATCCTTTTACCCAAAAAAAAAAAAAAAAAAAAGATATCAATATCCTTTCCTTAAGTTGATGTTTCAGATCAATAAGTGTCTTCTTTGGAAGATAATGCATTTCACTACCAATTTCTAGAGGTATGTAATTTTAGCAAGCAGCTTTGTCTAGAACTTTTCTGTTATTGTTTCCTTAACACACATAGTGAACGCAATTTGAGAAACATCCCTTGTCTCAACAATAGAGAAAGGTGATGGAAAATTCCTTCTGATAAAATCAAAGTTGTGTTTCAGCAGAAAAACTTACCTCAAGCTGTAACTTTCCACCACGTCCCATACCTTCCAACTCCACCAGCACCTCATGCAAGTCGCCTGTCAAAACACATTATCTATTTGATCATTATATAGGGAATTTGGCAGACCAAATCACCAAGCTTAATCTGCTCTATATTAGAAAATTTATGACTAAAAAATTCTAGTTAAGTATAATTACAAGCATAATACCCTTGCTCAGTAATGGAAGCAAAATTTGAGCTACTTAAAACTAGGCCAGCATGATTTGTTTGATTTCAAAATATCCCAAGCATGGATGTGATTCATTGAATTCTCACCATCACAGAGGTATTCCAGATTTAAGCCAGTGTTTCCCATGCGTTTATGTGGAGTCACAAGGTTTGCATCCCAAGCTGCAATCTAAAGTTTCATTCAGCATGTTAAAAAATTAAAACATAAGGTTTCATAAAAAAACACTTCATAGATAAATTGTCAATAGTCTGGTAAAGTAGAATAGGATAGATGCTATTAACTTCACAGTTCACTAACATCCTCCCTAGCATAAAAGCTTTACTTTGACCAGTCCAACCATGAAGAGAATGATTAGTAATCCTAATGGACAAGAATGTGGCTATGTGCTACAGGTGGATGAAGAGCATAGCTGATATACAATGCATAAAATGATGTTAAAACATTTCAAGAAAAGCACAATGTTGGGAGATGGCTCGTATTGTATTCCATTTTGGGAAACTGAATTCAAATGCTAATTGATCTCTGGGTAAAAAGAAATCACCTAAATAATCTTCTTGGTTGACTAGTTTATTAGGTTGCTTTAGTTTTCCAGTACTCATATTTCTTAAGGGCTCTTACCAATGAACATAACTTTTAGGTTTAGTGGTGACTTAAGATAAGAAAAACCATCTAAAGAAATTCTTTGACTATCATTCAATTCTATATTTCACCTATTATTTATAAAGATAAAAGATAACATAAATAAATAAATGAAAGGAACACTGGAACTAAAAAAAAAAAGCATACATAAGAGCTTCCGACATGACCAAAAATAATCAGAGAATTCGGAGAGAAAGCATATTGACCTGAAGACTTCTTGCCGTTGGCAGCTTTATATTAAAAGTTAGGTCTTCATTCCATGTTGGCTCCTTTGTCCTGTCATCACAGAATACTTCCTTGAGTTATCCTTCTTATGGTTGAGTAAAGAAAGCAAAAATTTGTACACATAGTTGGGAAAGCTCATAGCTCTCAAGTTATATAACATTGCTCCCATAATGGGAAAGGAATTAGAAAGTGCTTATTATATCTAGTTCAATTATATTATTCAAGAATTCAGGAAATTTTCAATCAAGAAGCTAGTTCCACAGCAAGACACGGCATCCTAACTGAATAATATGCAATCAGTTATTCCTGTATTTCTTCAACATCATAAAGGAAATACAAGCCACTTATTTTGTATTGCATGAAAGCTTTTTCAAATGAAAATCAGGCATATATAAATATGACTTAGAGTTCGCAAAGTTTAGTAAACTTGAAGGAGAGTGAAAAATACTCAATGAAAATAGTTTACCCCCACTTAATCTTGCTTTTGACTACCTGACCATCCAATTCCATGACGACATACGGATCACTTGTTCCCTGAAAGCAGAGTTTAAGTATTATGAGTAATAATACAACAGAATTGGAAACAGATTTAGAAGCTTTCAGTATCAGCAAATGAATTTTGAATTCATGCGCAAAACATTGAGACACATATTGAACCAACACTCAGGAAGCAGCTTCAATCAAAGCAGCCATAAATACCAAAAACTTCACAAGCATATAACTAGTTGTCAATGCATAAATTATTTAAATAGAAAAAGAAAAACCCACCCATGGATCCATAGCAGGCAAATCAATACCCTTCTTTAACTTTATAATTAACTGACCATCATATATCTCACGCACAAAAGACCTGCACATATACACACCAAATTTGAATTTACACAGCAGTTTCCATACTCCAATTTCACATAGCATGAGTATGAGCACGCATTTTTAATTACAGCACGGAAAAATATAGTAAAACTAAAATTCAATAACAAATAGAAATAAATGGAAAAATCTTGATGCATCAACTGTAAAAAGATCAGAAACAAGAACTAATCTCTAATGCAATGGGTGTTAAAATGCAGCATACTCTGAGAGATAAACTGTCTTACAACCAGCAGCATCAACCTCCTGCCTCCCAATGTTCTCCTGATCACAAATTTAATTCTTTAGAAAGCTCAAAAGTAACCAAACAAATTACATGGCCGTAAGAAAACAAAAAATTAAAAGGAAAAAAATTACTTACAGGAGGGTTTGTATAAGCTTCAAATGCAAAGCCAGCAAGAATGACAGCGAGATTGATATCAAACGGTGGCCGTTCAATTTGTTCTTCACTTTCAACCTTTTCAATCTCAGCATCCTTGGTTTTACAAAAGCAGGGAACCGAGCGGAGACGCTTATCGCCTTTGATTTTACAAGTTTCTGGGCAAGTCCAAACCAGTTTAAGTTTCCCGGAAAATGGTGAGCGAGAGAAGGTGAGAGATTGAAGGCGGTGGGATTTGTATAAAGACGAAGTGGGAATGTGAGCAAATTGAAATTTGAGGGTGTGAAGTTGGAGAGAAGACATGGTTTTGGTTTTGTTTTTTGAAATTTAGAGCAGGGAAGAGATTGTGTTGTTGGTGGTGTTAGTGAAGTGAAAGTAACTGTAACTGTTATGTAATAAATAAATTATTAATAATTTTTGTTAATTTGGGAGAGAATGTCTTTGTTTTGTATTGTATACGCTGTCGTGCAAGAGCACGTAATTGGAGAAGAAGAAGAAGAAGGTTTGAGAAAGACATGGGAGAGACAAGTGGCCAATGCTTCACTCTAGAATCGAGAGTTTAAAACAGTGACAGTTAACAGTTATGTTAATTGGAGATTTGCTAGCCCAACTGGCAGAGATTAAAGTACTGGAGGGGTTACGTTACCAACTGGGTATTGTTGCCCCAAAATATCTTTACCGGTTTCATTTCCTTGCTCAACGTTTGAGGATAGGAAAATCTTACCCCTGATTGGTAAAGTTTTCAAATTCTACCTTATCGGCATATCCTACTATCCTATCAAATCTAGTAAAATATATTTAATAATTATATTTTCTCAATTCAAAATCCAATCTTATTATATTCAATTCAAAACATTTAGTAATTATATTTTCTCAATAAAAGTTTATAAATTAACAAAAACATCATCACTCATTAAGGGTAAGCAATTTTGGGTACCCTACACTTTCTGAGAGAATCAGAACCGAAACCGCACAGTACAGGTTCCCGAAAAAAAGAACCAGAACCGAAACCGTACAGTGCGGGTTTTTCAATTCAAGAAATCGAAACCTAAAATGCAGGTTTTGGTTCATTTCCTAGGTACTCTATAAAAAATCAATTACCCCCTTATTAGTTTAAAAAATAACAAAAATACTTTAAAAGTTTACAAATACACCCCTAATAAATTTTGATTATTCATTCATTTGTGTTCAATGTAACTCATAACCTGTAATCTATAGGTAACACTTGAATTCAATCAATTCATCACAATTCACATAAAATTCGTCAATCAAAACCAAAACACAAACAATTGTTCATCACAATTCACATCAAATAACTTCACCAAAATCATTCAAACATTAGATTATAATTATTAAATTATACTATAATGTTATAATTAATTAAGTGATCATACTATAATGTAATGTTATAAATACTTATAATTATTCAAGTAGTTATTTAACAATAATGTAATATTATAATCAATTAAATTTCTAATAATTTAATTAATTACTTATGTTTAATGTTTATAATATAATGTCATAATTAATTAAGTAATCAGTTAATTGTATATGTTATAATTAATTAAGTTATCATACTACAATGTAATTGTAATGTTATAATTAATTAGTATATACATTAATTTAATGTAATATATAATTAATTAAATTAATCATTTAATTAAGTATTGTAATATGTTTATAATAGAATGTTATAATTAATTAAGTAATCAATATAAATTATAATGTAAGTTATAATTAATAAATTCTAATCATTTAATTAATATTGTGTAAATTAGTAAATTACTAATGTTTATATAAATGTCATAATCAATTAAGTAATCATTTAATATTTTAATTATGTAATGTTATATAATTTATATCATACTATATAGTATAATGTATGTTAATATGTTATAATGAATTAAGTAATCATACTATAAATCATAATTTAATATTATAATTAATTAAATTTCAATCATTTAATTAATATATAATGTTTATAATGGAATGTTATAATTGTTAAGTAATCATATTATAAATATATAAGATAATGTTATAATTAATTAAATTTTTAATCTTTTAGTTAATAATATAATAATATGTAAATTATAATTTATAATATAATGTTATAAATTCATAACTAATTATGTAATCTTAACTATGTAATGCTATAATTAAGTAAAGGATCATAATATAGTAATATAATAATGAATAATTTATTAAGTAATTATTTAACTATAATTAATGCTTAATTAATGTTTATAATGTAATGTTTATAAGTAATGTTATAATTAATTAATTTCTAATCATTAATTAGTATTGTGCTATGTTTATGTAGTAAATTAGTAATTACTAATGTTTATAATATAATATCTAACTCATCATCATAAGTAATTATTAATTATGTAATTTACAATTAATTTGTGATCATATTATAATGTAATATTATAGTGAATTAATATATCAGATTATAAGTCTTAATGTAATATTATAATTAATTAATTTTTAATATTTAATTAAGTAATGTATAAATAATAATGTAGTAAATTACTAATGTCTATAATGTAATTTATAAATTTATAACTAATTAATAATCATTTAACTATGTAATACTATTATTAATTAATAATCATAATATAATGTAATGTATAATGTTATAATTTAATTAAGTAATTATTTAACTATAATGTAATATTAATTAATTAAATTTCTAATCATTTAATTAAGTAATCATTTTTTTATATATAGTTATATTAATTGTATAATATAATGTCATATATTAAATAATCATCTAATTATATATGTTATAATTAATTATGTAATCAACTAATCATATTATAATGAAATATTGAAATGTTATAATGAATTAGTAATCATACTATAATCTTTAATATAATATTATAATTAATTGTTTTATAATTATAATTATTATTTATAATTAATTAAGTAATCATTTAATTATAATGTAATATTACAATTAATTACGTAATCGTACTATAAATTTATAATGTAATGTTGTAATTAATTAAATTTCTAATAATTTAATTAAGTATTATGCTAAATTGCTAATGTTTATGTAGTAAATTAGTAATTACTAATATTTATAATATAATGTCATAATCAATTAAGTAACCATTTAATTATATAATGCACTAATGCACTAATATTATAATTAATTATGTAATCATATTATAATGTAATGTTATAATGAATTAAGTAATCATATTATAAATCTTTAATGTAATATTATAATTACTTATTTTTAATCATTAAATTAAGTTTGTACTAATGTTTATAATGAAATGTTATAATTGATTAAGTAATTATACTATAAATCTATAATGTAATGTTATAATTAATTAAATTTCTAATTATTTAATTAAGTAATATACTAAATATTATAATTTATAAGTCAATTAATTAAGTAGTAATCAATTAATGTAATGTTATAATTAATTATACTATAAATCAATTAAGTAATGTTATAAAATTATAATTAATTAAATAATTATGTAATTACAATGTAATGTTATAAACTTATAATTGATTAAGTATAATATTTAACTAGTAATTAAATTTATTAATGTTTATCAATCTATCATGTATAATTAATTAATTGCTAATTTACTATAGATATACTTAGAACTTGATAATTGAAGTAAATAACTAAATGTATTATTATTTAATCAAATATACTATTTTATTCAAAAATAGTTCTTTTAATAACATTAAAATTTTAAAACACTTTTAATTGGATCATAATTTCAATTATTCACTTAATTAATGAAAACTTTAATATTAATATATTAAAGTTTTTAATATAGTGTAATTTATATGTAATAAGTATAATTGTATTAGTATATAAGTATAATTGTATTAGTATATTTATTTAATTAGGTTATTCTAAAAAATTAATTTTTTCTATGTTAAATTTTTTTATATGTAAAATAATAGAAACCCCCCATTATTCACATTTCACAAATATTTCATTGCAGTCCAGGTTCCAAAACAAGTTCCAAACAGGTTCCAAATAGGTTCCAAAATCGGTTCCAAACTGGGTACCCGTTACAGGTTTCCAAACAGGGTACCCTTTTTAGGTTCTTTTTCCACGTTCCGGTTCCGGTTCCTCCACACACAAGAACCGAAACCAGAACCGGAACCGAAACCGCACAATGTCTGTTCCAAAAAATTGGAACCGGAACCTACCCGCACAGTGCCGGTTCCGGTTCTGCCCCCAGGTTCCGGTTCTACCCGCTACCCATGCTCACCCCTATCACCCATCAAACTAATTATTGATTTATAAACTTTTATTGTGAGGGGGTGTGTTTTGCTAAATTAACAAATGTAAGGGGTTAAAAATAATCTAAATATTTTTATAAAATGTTTTCAAAAATATACCAGACACATTCTCACAATCTTATCCTATTTTATTAAATTTTATTCATAATAGAATACTATTTTAAAAAGTTAACTAATTCCCTTACTTGCGCTTTGTTATTATATATCAATTTGAAAGAAAAAAGATAGTTATTATTAAAGTTAAAAATTTTGTTTACCAAAAAATAAATAAACATATATTCTTATTTTTATTCTTCAATCCATTTATGAATTTTTATGAATAAACTTTATATCTTGAGACTTGATAATGTACCATTACTTTAAGGTGTATTTGGTTCAAGGAATGTTGTATTATTGAAAGGGGGCGTTTGGATCATATAATGTTTTAATTATATGGGTATACTATATTAACGGAAACAAATATTACCTTGAAGATTACTAGAAATATTTAGAAAATGTGTTTAGTTGGTTCGAATAAAGTGGCGAATAATATGTTTGGTTGGAAAGATAAATATGTGAGTATATTATATAGATAACTAAATTGCCCTCTTTTTTAAATATTAATATAATAATTTTTTATTATTATTATTTTTTGAATCAATTTTTTTAACCCCCTACATTTGAAACTTTGCTAAAATACCTCAACCATATAAAACTTTAATTTGTAGTAAAATCACTCCCACCCACCCCAAGCCATTGCCGGCAACCAACCACCACTATCGGCCGTCGTCGGCAGTCGACAAAATGGCGCACAACTAGTTGTATATGACCGAGCATGAACAGACAAAGCCGGAAATGGCCATGGATCACAAATCCATGGCCTAAAAATAGCTAGATCTATGGCCATTTCACGGCCAAAGATGTGGCCGTGAAATGGCACGACAAAAAATCTAGCATTTTCACGTGAAACGGTCATAGAAACACCATATCTGACCGTTTCTAACCATATATCACAAATCCATGCCGAAAAAGGCCTTACCGACCCACGATCCCGAAAAAGGCCTTACCGACCTACGATCGACCATATCAAGCCAGTCGTGCACCATTACAGCGACTGACGTCGGCAGCCAGCGGTGGTCTTGGGTGGTTGGGGGTATTTTATTAATTTTTAAACTTTTTTGTGGTTGGGGTGTTTTACATAATTTCTCAAATGTAAGGGAGCTGTGTAATTGTTATTTGGTAGACATTT